TATTTCACAGAATAATGAAAAACAAAACATAAGATGCAAATAATAAGATCAATGAAACACCTACTATAATAATCTACAAAACAAATATAATAAATGAAAAACTTGCATTAAAAATATAGAGTAGTTTTAAAGATAAAAAAACCTGAAGATGATGCTATGCATTGAAACATGTAGTAGTATAAAGCGCAATACTGTAACATCGTAATAACGATGAATAGCGCAAAATATCAATATTAATTTTAAATTTTAACATCAACAATTTAAAGTTTGTGTATAGACTTGAATTATATTATATATTTGAATTTTAAAACACAAACATGACGCATTTAAACTATAAACTCTATGTCTTTTTTTTTTTTTTTTTCAGAGAAGGTAAAAATGTTACTGCCAGACTAGTGATTTTTGAATCTGTGTAATGTATCTGCAGTGAGATTAGCCATGTGGCAGTATATTTGTGTCTGCAATAAATAAACATATATCGCAAATACGTAACGTTTGAGCTGCGATCCTGAGTAGCCATCTTCTGTAATGTTTTTTGAATTATTAAGACGAGCCTGAGAAAATTGTGGTGATGTTAACTATAGCTGGGGATTGAACTCTTTGGTGGGATTTTGTGGTAACGGTTCTGAACTTCAATTTTATGTGCAAAAACAGTTGCGTATGTCGTGATTTAAAAATTTTTAGCATGCAGTTGTATCTTACCTTCAGTTATGACATTTTTGTTTCTAGTGGCAGTCTCCTTGCTGAAAGACACAGGCAGGACTCCAAATATTTTCCCAAATAAATAAGCTGGTTGCAGTATGATCTCCTTAATATAACTGCAAAATGATAAAAGAACGTTTTCTGTTCTTTGAAGTATTTTGCGCAGTCGGAAGACTGCCTGACCTCCTGAAGTGGCCATAAACCTTTATTACGTGGTTTCTGTGAGATACTACATAATCTATTCGTCAGAGCCCTTCACTGTATTAGTTTATAATTTATTTATTACGCTGACATTTCACACGTTCCGCTATGCCGTAATGAATGGTAATACCAAATAACTAATTTGTATTTGTCACTTTAGATGTGGATTAAATTTGAACTTGCTTTAGCGAGTTTCAGTAGCACTAATCAAAATTGCCTGTGATAGCTTAGACTCCGTGTGTTCACCCGGTATGTAGCATAATTAGACGCGCGTGTTCTCGCTTTAGGCGTGTAAGCGCTCGGAAGGTGGCCGGAGGAGAAATGTCATCGGCGTGTTTGGAAGATGATTTTGGAAGCGGTAGGAATTTTAAAGAACTTAAAATTAAGACTTTCTGACTTGTTAACGTCGTTGCACTCGGGAAGTACTCACTGAGAAACACCAGTATGATTTTCGTCAGTGGTTCCAGAAAATATTAATCTTGATGGTCGGAACTCAATCTTTCCTCCTGGCGGCGTTGTAAATCCCCTCAGTAATTGGCCAGCGTTCCTCCTTCGTGTTCGAATGTCGGCACTGACTGGATATTATGGTGGAGTTTCCCTGTGTTCCTTAGACCCTCCATACAAGCAGATAGGCTTTTCAATTAATCATTCATGTTTTATAAGTATTCTCTCAGAACTACACTACAGCGAATTTTTATGTCAGATTTTCAAGCCTTTATCGACATTTGCTTGTGGTTCCTTGGGCGGGGGTTAAGCCCTTTTTAAGGCCCCCACTGACAACCCACAAAGACGCGGACACACCGACACGCATCCTCGCTTGGTGTGTGATTATGGCGAGGCCTTACACCGATCGACCACTGTTCGGTTTAATTGTAAATAATATTTAACAAAGTGTTTGTCTCCTTTACGCATTTTCTACGCTCGTATGTACGAGGTGCGATCGGAAAGTTTCAAGACTGTGTCAATAGAGGGCGAACCGGATGTAGTACGAGCTTCTGCCGCTAGGGGGTGCGGCCTACATTCATAGTGAATCAGTGTGCCAGCCGGCATCATCGAATTAGCATTTGTTTCTTAGTTACAAGCGTTTTGGTAGTGCATTGCACCGACCCTCCTGCAATTTCGGAATGGCGTGTGCATCAAATGTTGCCAAAGACTCGCCAAAACGGCTACGGAAACCTATGAAATGCTAAAGCAAGCATTTGGGGAGTCCGCAAGGGGTCGTGCACAAACTTTTGTGTGGCATTCACGTTTTAAAAAGGGCCGAACCTCTGTCGATGATGACGAGAGTTCTGGACGACCATCTTCGAGCACAACGCCCGAAAATGGTACGAAGATTCGGCAGGCCATTCACGAAGAGCGACGTCGTACCATCAACGACTTGTGCGACATTGTTGGGATAGGCTATGGGACCTGTCAGCTGATTCTAAAGGAAGAACTCCACATGCGACGCATCCTGTCTGAGGACCAGAAGCAGAATCGACTTCTCGTTTCTCAGGAGCTCAAAGATCCTGCAAGAACCGACCCCAACTTCCTTTCTAAGCTCCGTGTGACTTCTTCCTCTTCCCAAAGATGAAAATTCAGCTAAAGGAAAGGATAATAATATTCGAGTAGTTTTACTGAAACGCGCTTAGTTTATACTGGGCCTTTACTTATGGTATTTTATGGGACATTTGACATATTAAACGCGCTAATTTTTGTCCATTACTTATTTCTTATAGTCACAGGGTTTGTTTCCATTAAAGACGTAACCTTTCCCCTCCCCCATTGGCAGAACATGACTGATCCGTTACTTGAACGTCATTTCTATTTCTTAAATGTGTTTGCTCACAGAAAACCTCTGTGTGCTGCTGTTACGCGGAACAGACATGTCAGAGAACGTGGCATTAGAACTAAATAAATAGGTTCTGTTGATCCGCCATCCGAACAAACAGGTACATTCGTCTCTGTTTAATTTTCGACCCACAGACTGTAATTCAGTTTGACTGACAGTAGAACGCGTTCTTCAAATAATGATCCCTGCCAAACGTTCGCGTCGTTAATCCTGTCTGTCTGTCTGTGGGCCCCTCCGAACAGTTTTCTAACGCGAGAACCGATTTTGACGAATGCCTGTGTAAAGATTGGTTAGTCGTTGAGAATAATTCCGTTCTCAAATGTTCGCTACACTAATACTCTATTATATAACCCGATTTTTCTAAAGCCCTCTATTAAACGCTGTCGAATCGTTTTTATTAACTTAGCCTCTTTCATAAGATAGTGTAATTGCGTGATATTGTGAATATTATAACAATTATTTATTTTAATCCGTCTGATCACAATATTTAAAATTTCTTATAATTAAGATAATAAAATATCATTCATGTTCCATATCGATTGATCGATTTACATTTCGGAACATTTACACAACATGTTTCGGTTTTTATAAAACCATCATCAGGTGTAAAATATATCTAAGAACTTAAAACTCAATTATGATTTCTGTAGTTTTCTTTGACGCAATTACACTATCTTAATTATAAGTTTAGTTAATCTGTTTGTTTACTATTTTTCATTATTATTGTATGTATTATCAGTGTTTGCCTGTTATTGGCTTCTTGCTGTTGGCAAACACTTAAATAAATTAAGTGAATTGAATTGAATTATGCATCCTTTCAGTAACATCCTTTGATCAGTGGTAATATATTCTCAAGACCGTCATAACAAGTAAACATTTCCAAGACCTCAGGTCAGCTCCTCTTTCTTAAAAGATCCTTGTTACACCCTTCCGTCTACACCTTCTTTTTCGGTGGTGTTGTCTGTCATCGAGTTACTTCATTAAACATTTATAAAAGTCTCCTTTACATAAATCAACTGTACTAATCTCAGATAACTAACGGGACCCATGATGAAGTCGATATAAGATCGATTAACAAAAGAGTTGCTTTGTCAGAAAGTCGTGTTCGAGTCCGTGCCGAGCTTAGGAATTCTGGGCTTCGGATTAAAGATGTCGCCTCTTGAAAAAATCCCTTTCAAGGGCAAGCGTGCTGATTCTTGTTTTGTTTAAGTTTCTGCTATACTTTACGAAACAGAAGTGTTTCTAATTGTTAACAAATAGTAACTGGATTGCTTGTTCTTTACAGAAAAACATCAGGAACACGTTCTTTTTCGAATATCGAAATTTTCATATTTCAGTATCCGTTTCCATTTTCTGTTGGTTTGAGTTCCACACAGAAATTTTGAAACTTTGTTTTTTAATATTATGCAAATGCATAATTTAAATGAGTATTTATGCTAATAAGTTCCGACATGACGCCTCGGGCTTCCGTATGTGATCTTATCGACGCCAGTCTGTGTTTGTCATTACAATTACAGTACCTGCGGGACTCAGTAATAAAGTGTTTTACGTCGTATTAATGTAGGAACTGTGTAATTTCAGGCGAGGTTACGACTCTGTAACGGTCCCATCACACCTTTTTACCGTTGAAGACGTTTCTTTATTAAGCCCTACAGCTTCTGTTTTAAAATTTTTATGAAACCAGACGGAAGGCGACCTAATAACTATTCATTTTCCTCAAATTTAGTAGTTAACGATGTTTGTGTACGATCACCTTTATCAACTACTAATGTGGGAAAGCGCTCATAGTTCTACGTGTCCATGATTAAATTCTTTGTTACTGAAGGAAAATACAATCGGTGCACGACTTGAAAGTTCCGAGCCGGTACGTCACATTGAGAATATCGTGATTCGTTTGTTGAACTTGTTCTAGAAATTCTCCAAAGAGGGCAGCTGTAGGACGCTGCTTCATTATACTACATGCATACGGCCATGCGCCATATTACATGCGCAGTCGGTAGTGCGCAGTTATCAGTGGCTAATGGGTAGTTGTTGTGTAAGGTTGTGTTTGGTAAGGTGAGATTAGTGACGCGCGTGCGCAGACAATAATACGAAGTGATGCATACTGTCAAGCACGACTTGCTTGTTCACGTAACCGTGACGTTCTTCAACTGTGGCGCAGGTATCCCCATGGGAAAATCGTAGCAACTCGTGAATTCAGCTCGTCATTTTTTTTTTCCTTGTGACGTGTGAATTTTTCAGCAGGTCTTTGTGTTTTTTTTTTCAGGCTGACTACAGTCGCCATTTGGATGAGATTGCCACACGCATCGAACGCCTCCTATTGGTTGCAGTGAGGTGTCAGCTGGTGACGACTATCGACTCTTCTTCGGGGAGTCCCCGCCACCGTGGCGTCACAGCGAGGTCACGTGGTCTCCTGCGACAGTGGGAGAATTTCAGACAACTCGCTGATCACGGTAATGTCTGTGTTCCTTGTGAGTGTCGACTTTGACATGTTTCTTTGATTTTAAGTAACGTTGCGACATAAATTATATGAGGGTGTCTCACTCAGGACTTTCGCGTTTTTACTCAGCCTTTCTAGGTGAATATCGAGTAGTTCAGCCTGGTTCTTCCATCCGGTTCTGGGGTTTTACTGCATGCGATGTTGTTGTCCGCATTTTATATGAGTACTTCGTGAACAGTCGGTTGATGAGTAGTTAGGTCGAAGGGAAGTGAATAAGAGAACAGTTTCTGGCCAATAATATTCTTACTTATTCAGAAATCAATTTATTATCTGTATTTCTTACACTTTTAACTTTTATGGTTTCAGCGTTTACAGATGTAGCTTTCGCCCTTTTCTAATTTTATAACCGCAATTTCTCTTTCTCGCACTGTTCTCTCTTTTAATTAACCTCCTCGCATATCTAGGTCCTCTCCTCCCATCGTCTTTCCAGATGCTCCTGTTCCCGGATTACCTCCTTCTCCTGTAGCAACTTCCTTTGTTAAGACTTTTTGTAAGCGATGCTGGTGCTGCTAAAGTATGCATGAGGCAGCCAACGAATTCTGTGCTGCTGTAACAGGCGATCTGTTGCGAACTAAATATTTCAGCTTGTGGTCGGTCTCTAGCATTTCCGCCCGCTTTATTTCGGACACGCTCGCTTCATGAGAGAGCCATGCATGCACATTGAAGCAACTACCGTTGCAGCTGTGTGCTGTGCTCGTGAAACACGTTATGACAGTGGTTTTTGAACTGTGAACATCGCCCACCCCCTTGTGGCGGTTGTTTAAACTAATTTTCGTAGACACCTGCTTTGTATGTTGATAGGAAAGACAAGTATTGTGGTACTTATTGATCCAAATTCCAATTGAAAGAAATTGTTTTAAACACGAAACATCTGGGTCCTATACGTTGAACCAGAAACCTTTAAAATTTCACTAAAGGATAGACAATATGGGATTCCTCATCGATGTAGGAGTCGTTTATATTGACGTCAAATTTAGTGTGGTGTTTTTCATTTTCTTTTCTTTCTTTTCTATCTTTCTTCTTCTTCTTCTCCCTGAGGCAAGTAACTGGACTGTGTTTGAACAAGAAACTTGACAACGATGCTACATTTGGTCGCGTAAGAATGAACTAGGCACCTCATGACGTAACACCAAGCAGGGTATAAACAAAACACGCTTCTCTCTCTTCAGTTGTCTTCTACTCTTCATTCCACATGTATTTCAAACTTTTCCCAAAGTTAAGTGAGAAGGTACCAAGAAGTAGGTGGATATTTATTCACCTTTAATAGTACAATCACAAATCCTGTTACTACACTATCAGAAAATGATAATACTGACAAATACACCAAGTAAATATGACATGGAGAAGTGGGGTTATGGTTCAACTACTCAACAGAACCATGCGTGTTGGTCGTAATGGAATTCCATGTTGCAATTAAAAGACTTTACAGTATTTTTATTCCTTTGCCAATTTATAATCACAGAATAACGTGAGATTTTCTGATCCATGTGGAAACACTGTTGCCACTATTATGGTTTGCAATTATGGACTCGTTTTTACACCAGCAGTATACCCACTCATTGGCACTTTAAAGGTCAATACTTACTGTGTGTAATTTCATTTTTTTGGGTATGAATTGCATCAAATATTCTTCAGTTTTTGGGTATGAATTGCATCAAATATTGTAGGTTTTAAACTGTTTTGGGAACAATGCAGTTCCCGTCTTAAGGGCGAACGTGTACAGGGGGATTTAGGAAGCCTTGTACGTATAGAGCAGGCACATTTCAGTCACCCACTATTGGCTGCTGTATGTAAGAATTCCCCAGTACGCATTCACCCTGAAGATGGCAACTGCACTCTTTACTGAAACGTTGGAAAACCTACAACATTCGGTGTGGCCTATCCCGGAAGCCAATTCCCGCCACGGAAACGGAAGGACAAGAATTATGCGCTCTCTGTATGTTTTAGCAAGAAATGTGGAGGCGTACGTGAGATGTTTATTTTGGTTTTGGATTTGCTCGTGTCGAACTGATAAAAGAAAGAAATGTAACCAGAGCTGGACGAGAATAATTATGACGTAGAATGAAATATTATTATTATGCCCACAGGTCAAGATGTACAGCACGGAATATTTAATACTGAGACTGAATTATTCACACGTCGATTGAATGTTCTGCAAGAAATAGTGACTGATTTGTTGACTGATGGTGAGTCTTGCGAGTCTGACAGACAGATGTTTGAGGCTGAACTGAGGAATCTGGAATGCAAACTGAACAAATTAGCTCAGAATGTAGCAAAGGAAGGAGGCCTGAACACAGGTGGCAAGTTTGAATGGATCGACAGTGTTCTGGTTAAGGTACGTCTTGGAAATGAAGTTTGTTTTAACCTCAATATTTTATTGTTCTCTATCTTTGGGGGGGGGGGGGTTAAAGGTAATTTTATAAAAGTGCTGAAGATTTTCTGGTAGCAGTATTGTACGTGTACTTGAATGTCTGAATTTCAATTACTGTAATATTTTTTTCTGACAGTTGAATACTGACAATAATAAATCAAAATTACATACATGAAGAAATTGAAGAAATAAAGATTACATTAAATATGTTAAATGCACGCTAATATTTGTTTCAGAAACTTTGATATTCTTATTTGCTTTAAGATTAAAATATAAAAAATTATACTTTAAAGTGTTGCTTTGTATGGATATGGAACTGGGAAAAACCTGGGTTTGAGGTTATTTGGAAACAGGGTACTGACGTGAAAGTTTGAAGCTAAAAGAGAGAAAGTAACAAGGACCAGAAGAAAATTCTGTACTGAGAATCTTCATTATTTATCAGTTCAAAGATTTTGAGGTTAGGGACTTGAATGATTGGGTTTTTCCAGCAAAATTTTAGTCTTAAAACTTGAAGAGAAGGGACTACATACTTGGGAAACAAACATAAATGGGATGTGCCTTTAAAATAGATCTTACAGATTAATTTTGCAGTAATAGCAGTTGGGTTACCAGCGTTTGTTGTGTGAGCACATGGACTGTGTGTGTGTTACTGAGGACAGGGTCCAATATCAGGTTCTTTTAAAAATGGTAATGGACTTTTGGATTCCATGAAATACAGGACTGGCTGAGAAATTATTGGCTCCTCTGCTCCATGGAGTAAGATAGATGATTTGACTCAAAGACATTTGCTTTGAATGCAGTGTCATGCCATCTATCCCTGGCCATTAACACTATTCTATGAATTATTCTTCTGTGACATTTATTTACCTTTCTGATGCCAGTGTCTGCAAGATGGCTCCTGGTTGTTGGTGGATAATGTTAACTTATGTTCATCTGCTGTGTTGGATCGCCTTAATGCCCTTCTGGAACCTGGCGGATCTCTTACAATCGGAGAAAGAGGCGTTGGCCCCAACGGCGAGGTTGTCACCATCTGCCCCCACCCAGGCTTTCGACTATTCCTGACCATGGATCCCCACAATGGAGAAATATCAAGGTAACACTTAAAGTCATTTCTGATTATTATTTCATCATATTCACCAAGTGTTCATTGAAATTCATCTGTAGTCGGCTGCCTAAACTGAGAGGATCCTACTTTAGCATCCTCCATTGTGATAATTCATTAAAATATTTGAAAATTGTGTTCTGTTTCTTGACTTGCGTATGTTTTTTAACTATGATGTCTGTTTGGGTGTGCTGGACTTATGCCTTGTCTTGGACGACAATGTGTTACGCATATACGAGGGGCAGTCAAAGATTTCCCGGAATTGTGGTATAGCACTGTAATGGTAGGACATATGGCAACGCTCACCTAATCACCTTCAAAGTTGGACCCTTGCGCATACACACTTGCTCCATCGATCCTGCTATCGTTGGAAGCACCGGCGGAAGGCTTCGTTTGGAATCTTCCGGAGTTCGGCCGTCGCATTCGACACATCGCTGGTTGTGCAGCAATTCCTCGCCGAGAAAAGCATTGCCGTCATCACCCAACCACCAGACTCTCCAGATCTTGCTCCGAGTGACTTCTGGCTGTTCCCTACTCTGAAAATGGGCCTCAAGGGGGCGCGTTTCGCAACCATGGAGGACATCAAATCAAATGCGACGGCCGAACTCCGGAAGATTCCAAACGAAGTCTTCCGCCGGTGCTTCCAATAATGGCAGGATCGATGGAGCAAGTGTGTGTGTGCGCAAGGGTCCTACTTTGAAGGTGATTAGGTGAGCGTTGCCATATGTCCTACCATTACAGAGCTATACCACAATTCCGGGATCTTTTCTGTTGACCAAAATTGTATATAATTTCCTGTGCTATATGTTACGCATTTGTTTTTTAATCACAGATAACATTCTAACAGTGCACTCGCCATACCTGAGGCTAAATGCATATCTTGGTATGCTGTTGTCTCTGGTCTTTCGTGGTCGGCATATTCGGGTGTTACGCGGAAGAAACTATGACACGTGTCGTCGGCTTGTATGTCGGTGCTGTCATTCTGGGTGTTACGCGGAAGAAACTACGACACGTGTTGTCGGCTTGTATGTCGGTGCTGTCATTCTTACATCTCACGATGACATCGTCAACACCATTCCTTCATCTTTTATATCAGTCTGTAGTACAAACGAATGATCCTGGTGGAAGAGTAATTATGGACGATGCACGAGCATTGCGTCTGACAAAAATACTTTGTTCCTTACAGGGCCATGAGAAATCGTGGAATTGAGATCTGCCTCCTGAGCCCTCAGGAAGAAGATTACAACTGTTTGGATATGAGGTCCCTTCTTTATCATTTTGGCTTGAAGTCCGAAACCAGACAGGATATGCTGTTATCGGTGCATCACGCGATGAATATGGAACAAGGTAAAGGAAGACATTTTTAAATTAGCGAATTGTTAAGAAGAAACGTGCCTGAACATGGGTTGATACTGTACGCAGAAACATAAATGATAAATCTTAGCCATTAAGTTATAAGATGCTGTGTTTCATGCATGTAAAATGGTAATTAATTTAATTCTTATACTTTGATCTGCGTTTTCTCAGGTTTGGGTGAACCCAGTTTACCTCGGCTCTTGCACGCAGCTCTCCTGATATCACAGCAAATATCCCTAGGCCAGGGTCAGTACGAGGCTTTTCTCTCCAGCTGCTGTGATGTCTACGTAAAATCGCGCGTAAGAAGTTCCTCGGGATCAGCGGGCTTTCCAGACTTTAAACAAAAGTTGTACCAACTCTTGACAGAGATACTGGAAAATAGCTCCCAAACACAAAAGACACATAGAGACTCCTCGGAGGATAAATTTGCAATGGATGTTTTTACATTGACGACGCCTAAGATAAAAGAAAATGCATCATTTACTGTCATGAAACAACAAGTTTCATTACTGAAAGTATCATTGGAAGCAGCGGTTTTCTCGAAATCAGGACGTTCTGAAGAACTTATGAAAACAGGAGACGTGAAACCGTTTCCAAACACCGAAACTCTAAACCGACTGTTGGATGTTCATAATGAAAGTATCATTGGAACTAAAGCGGTAACTGATGTCATTCCAAGTTTTCTGCTGATGTTCTATCAAACAGCAGCTCAAAATGATATCGAACTTCGACACGAATGGCTTGCGGAGTTTATTGCTAAATGCAAGAGGAAGTGTCAAGATACGAGTGTACGCATTATTTTGGAGAAATATCAAAAGATGTCTGAAATATTGAAAATAACCCTTTGCCAGGCAATTTCTTCGCCTCTGTCTCTTCATGAAAATCTCGTGAAATGTGTCTGCTGCATGAATGATTTACCGTGGGATATTCGCTGGCTTCCAAACATAGCGGCGTTTTGCGATCCCAGATGTTTTGCGTGCAGAACAGCGAATAAGCTGGCGCTGCTACTTCGTTTCATGGCAAAGAAAATACAGACAGAGAGAATGACTGAGGAAATGCATTCCGGCAAACGGAAGTCTCTGACGGTGATGGAATATTCAACAGCTTTGATGCAAGGTATGTTAGCTATCTCACTTAGTCAAGCCTTCTCCTAATTAAGTCAACTTGTAATTCGTAGCTTATCTATGTGAGATTCGAGGTTTTTGCAGCGGTGAGTATGAAGATTTCTGTCTTCTGGGTTGTAGCGCTGTGTAGTCTGGTCGATGTTTAGCAGCGATTCAGAGGTCATACTGCCTCCGTCATCAGAGTATGAAGATTTCTGTCTTCTGGGTTGTTGCGCTGTGTAGTCTGCTCGATGTTAACCAACGTTTCAGAGGTCATACTGCCTCCGTCGTCAGAGTATGAAGATATCCGTCTTCTGGGTTGTTGCGCTGTGTAGTCTGGTCGATGTTAACCAACGTTTCACAGGTCATACTGCCTCCGTCATCGCCCTGATGACGGAGGCAGTATGACCTCTGAAACGTTGGTAAACATCTACAAGACTACACAGCGCAACAACCCAGAAGACAGAAATCTTCATAATTTAGCTGTTTGTAGGAAAGACAGTGTAAGAACTGGCATTTTCTTTGAGTGAAATATTATCGCTTGATCGTTCAAAATGTCATCTTAGGGTGTTACAGCATGCTTCACAAATTTATCTGTATAAACCAAACAAGAGTAGTTTAGAGAAATACATTACTTTTTAAGTTCTGCATTTTTGGGGGTTGGTTGTTATGTTAGACTGGATTAAAGAATTTTAAACCTGGGAATTCAATAATTTTTGGCGCAAAGTTGCAGAGATGTTTTATTATCGTGTTCATAAATTTTGACGCAGAGTTGCAGAGATGTTTTATTATCGTGTTGTTGTGTAATTAATTCTTCCTGTCGTAGATGACCCATGTATTTTGAAACTGATTCGTTTCCCAGGCACCCTCACAGACAACATCACAAGCCATTGTGTTGTTACCAAATTTGTACCGCTTATACATCAGTTTGATGTTTGCCTTGAGGCCGCGTTGAAATCCGTGAAGACATCGCTTGATTTAGACCAGTTCAGCGGCTTGTACGAAGCACTGGGGTGGAGATTCAGATTCTTTGAGATTGGACATTTACAACTTGTCAGTAGTGAGAAGAAGAAAGGAGGAAGAAGAACAGGGCAGTTAATAGAAGAAGCGGTGTCTACGTTAAGTGTTCACTACAACTGGCTGTTGAAGTGGACAGTACCAAAACTGCAGCTTCTTATGGAATCTGATGAAGCACTGTAAGTAGTACGTAACTTAGTGAATTACCTAAATTTCATTGATGCGTCTGATTGTTATAGTGTAACAAACACATTTGTGCCACCAGAACTTTGATCGTCATCAATACATTTCTTTATGTTAATTTGTATACGATCTTAGTCAGTTTTTGGCATGTTCACAGCAAAGCGTTTGCAAAATGCATCCCCGTTGGCTTTGTCATGTCTCTCCACGTTTAACAATTTGAGAATGATTGAATGGATTGTAGTTGACTTTGATGTAGGGAAGGTTTGCCAAAATTTGTTGACATATTCCTGTTTTGAAGAAAAACTGGTCAACAGTGATAAATAATAATAATCCGTGGCGTAACAGCCCTGTGAGAGCCTAAGTCGACTAACTTGACTGCTGGCCTCACGTTCGCACGCCTAAGCAGAGGTGAACGATCATCCGACCAGATAGAGGATGACGTGTGGTCAGCACGACGAACCTCCGGCCATTGCTAGTTTTCATGACCGGAGTCAACAGTAATGGACTCTTATATATACACATGAATGCTTTTTTGTGAATGAATCTGTGGTGTAACAAGTGTTTTGAACAGTAGTTTATGTAAAAAATAATTCATACATTTTATGTTCAGTACATTTTTTTTCCATAAGACTTACAGTTGTGTAGATAATTAAACAAAACTTTGTTGTCATTAATTTAAAATCTAGAGAAAAGAAAAGTGAATGTGCTAGAACTGCTATACTATGTCTACATTTCTAATTCGTGTAATCCCCTTTATTTAAGAAGTGTTGCAGAAACACACACACCTGATTACTGTGTACACGCTCAAGTTACGATCTTAACTAGAGTGCGTGTTCATATAGTCCAGTGGTCCCCAATGTGGTGCCCACAGGCGCCATGGCGCCCGCCAAGGCTTTTCTTGGGTGCCCGCATTGATACGGAAAGAGGTTATACTGAATAATGAAGGTCGTTCAACCATGAACATTACAAAATCAAAGCGCAGGTCTCGACTTACTGACGCCCATCTTGACGATTGTTTGCGAGCAGCAACATCATCCTACACTCCCAGATTTGAAAAACTGGCCGATGAAATGCAGCGCCAAACATCACACCAACTTCCCACTTGAGTAATAATAATTGTACTTATGAAAGTACGTATTTTTGATTGCATGGTTTCTCGTATCATTAAACGTCGCGTTGTTTTGCGTATTATTTGGTGTCGATATCTTATTTGTCCAGAGAAAAGAAAATTTGGCTTCGTTAATTGGTTGGTGCCCGCCACGATCTCATAAACTCTCAAATGTGCCCGTAGGCACAAAAAGGTTGGGGACCGCTGATATAGTCTATCTTCCCATAAAGGCCAGGGAAAGTTAGAGCAGTTATTTTATTCTTACCATGCCTAAGATATGAAATACAGTATTATATCATGTAAATTTATGCAGGAAACGGTAACACTTTATTTTTCTTGTGTTGGCCCCTCTGATTGTTTTCATTTATTTCTGGTAGAGTAGGTTGATTACAGTAATAAATTAAATGACTTTATGTATTTATTTTTGTGGGTGCTGGCATAAAGAGTGTGAAGTTGCTACGTTTTTAATGAGTGTTCATTTTGTGAGGTGTCATGACAGATAATTTTATCACTCCATTTTTTTGTATTGCTATTCTGTCATTCAGAAGTGTAGTTTTTGTGTTATTGATTTCTGTTGTTTTATTCCCGCTGTCCGTGAAGTCCTCACGATACTGTTTGCGTAAATATATCTTTTTCTACTGACTTCGTGCAGAAAGAATAGTAGGCTGGTGAGTCAGTTGGAGAGCACTTTGAAGGTGATTGATAGCAGCTTGGAAGTGTCATCATCAGTTTTACTGCAAGTTGGGAAGAAGGTGAAGCAAGACATGTGTCAGCCTGTACCTCATGCCAGCAATCAGCAAGTTGAACTATGGGAGCAAATACAAAGGTGATTGTTAAAATGTTTTTGTCAATGGTTTTGGTGATGTGAATATATATTCTGTAACTTTAAATGGTTTGTATGTTACTAATAGAATATGAGATTTTCACAGTGTCAAGTACAAATCAACATGTAGTCTGGTAGAAGTTTACTTCTTACGTACTATGTGGAATGACAACCCTAAGAGCCCGTTCACACTACACCGAATCGGCCGTTTTATCGAATCGGTTATTTTACCGCACACCACAGTGGCAATGCACGTTATATGTGAATGTTCACATGAAACGGCTGTCGACCGTGTACGGTAAAAGCACCAAATCGGTCGCTGATGACATTCGGTTTTGTCACTGGAAACCGAAAGAGGCGATGCGGTAAAAAAAGCGAATCGGTCGCCAGTAGCGCATGTATTGTAATGGAGTGCGTTCAGACAATTCGGTTTTCCTACCGTAGAGGAAAGCATCCCGAGGCTGCCGACCAGTCGGTACAGCGCACTTTTATATGGCATATGGCTAATTTTTCTTCAGGACTAATGCTTGTTGTCATAGTTGTGTTTTGTTTTGTCAAATGACCTTCCACTCATCTTAACAGGTAATCAAAAGTAGACATCGACATTCGGAAATAATTGAAAAATTTCAATTCATCTGTCCTCAGTTGGCACATCAGTGTGTGATAGGATCCCCAACGAGGCATATCTCTCACAAAAGGGTGTAACCAATCTCTCCTATCGATACTATGACGACGACGATACCAGTACATAAGGAGAAACGTATTAAAGTCCATCTTGGGAGCTGGCCCGGGAGCGAGTGCGTCGTAATACGGTAACAAAACCGAAATGTGTGAACACTAGTAAAAGTTTGCACCGTTTCGATGAAATTGCCGATACGGTAAAAATACCGTACTGTGTGAGCGTAGCCTAAGATGTACATTTTTACGTGAAACTTGCAGAGTAATTTCACAAATTCATTCATAACCATTGCAATGTGTGGCATCTTGAAAACAACTCCCTTTATGTGCCTAAAATTTTGTACTGTGAATATACATGTAATTTGGTGTGATGTCAAGTGTCTTTCAGAATTTTTGTTCTCATTTTATGTTTTGGTGATGGCTGTAGGTAATATTGGTTTGTTTCGTTGCGTTGTATTGCAAATAGTTCATCACCAAACATCATACCTGTAATAACTTCTTTACTTTTGGTATCATTTGGAACTACAGATTTCCTTCCAATAAATCAGAATTTTGAGAAATATCAGTGTTTGTCCAGTCGTGGCACCACAGGCCAGAGCATGGGGAACATTTGTTATATCTGCCACTTGAATTGTAACTGGAATTGTCGCCACTGTTCTCACTAGGCAGTCAGTGAGGAGATTGCGCGCACCCTGCCTTAAATCTCGGTCGAAAAGTCCAATATCACAACCTTCAAACTTTACTTATACTTATTTCTTACCCCATATGTGGAACAAGTACCCAGAGATATTTTAATATTATTGAGGGAACGGCAAGAATGAACGGAATTAGCTATGGAATCTTTGGTGAAGAATTCTGAGTCCTAGATTTGTTAATACAATTTGAATAAAAAAACTACAGTGATTTGGACATTTATACATATAGATAGGACAAAGGTACAAAGAAGGGTATTAGAATTAAAATTATAGGAACGAGACCCATGAGATTACTGAGAACATTGTGATTCAGCGTAATTTCTGCACTAAACCAGCGATTCCTTTCCCCTTATTTTGCATAATAAATTGTATAAATGTGTGAAATTATACCATATTGTTGAATTGGAATGCAAAGTCAAGTCTTATATAGATACATGAATGTTTCTGTAATAATGTGGTTTTTATTATATAATGCATTTAATATTGCTCTGTACTTCTTTGCTAGCAAGTAGTAATTTAAATGCACCGAGCTCTTAAATTCCAGACTGTGACATAGATTTAAAATGATGTCATTAAAGGGTCAGTGTCCTATCATTCAAACTACTTATGGTCTCTGAAAAATACAGATAAATGGAGATAAAATTATTTTTGGATTTGACGAAGGTTCAGGAAATGTTATGTTCATCATAAGGACCTATCTTCCTCCATCGTTTTCACAAAAAGGAAATATTTGTTTCATAATCAAGTCAGTGGTGCTTGCGCTGCGAGCCACCGCAGTTATCGATTTTCTAAAATTGATGCTACAGATGAACTTGGAAGGAACGTGGTTAGTGGTAAAATACTCAGAGCCTTTAGACCATCACATTGCTGTTAGTCATTCACAGAATTTATCTTGACATTAGTTTTCACTTTGTTCCGCCTATAAAAGAGTGAACTCCAGGATTTTGGACACAGGCAGTTACCCTTCCAATAATATTTGCAAATGTTTTCCTCTACAAATTTTCAGATTGTCAGATCTGCTATGTGTGTGGCCGAATACTAACTACGTTCACCGTGCGAAGTCTGCAGCTCTCATCTCCTTCCTTCGGACACAGATTGGTATGAAGGCTCGCCTTGACATTGTCCGTGCGTATCAACAGTTGGTTCATGGAGACAACATTGACCAAGGTATATTCAGTGGCAGTGTGCTGTGCATTTCTGTCTCTCACGTACATCTAATTATTGATGCTTTATTTATGTACAGTACCATTATTATGTGTTTGTTGCTCGAAGTGCGTAGCGAGGACACATTATGGTCTGGTCGTGTCTGTCCAATTGATGCAATTCTAGAACCACTGGACAGTTTACTTATTAAGTAGTTCGTCCTGCAGATTTTATGTGCCTGATTTATTATGTTATTATACCATTTTCATTGATGTCATGCATTTGGAAACAATTATACAAGTGTATCTAATTTGACACTGATGTCATACAGTCAGAATTATTATTTGTTTTAACTTGGTTTCGTCATTCATCTATTCCTGAACTTTGTGTTCACCTTTTAGTGATTTGTGTCATTACGGAGGTGGAGAAGTCGTGCCAGGCATCTGGTCTCATCCAGTGTCCTCTGGACTCCATCAGCGAGGATGAAGACTGTCTAAACGGTAACTCAGAAGTGCAATTGTGGCCTGTACAAGAATTGATGTGCGTTATTCTCAGCGGTGCTCTGAAAAGGGCGTTAACAAACAGCACAACTACGCGGCAGCAGATTGGAACTTCTGACGAATACAATGCATCAACCCTACCTTGCATTTCATCTGAAGACATTGCTAAAAATTTGAGCTCCATTATGCTTTCATTGCCAACTATTCCACCTATAATGGCATCAATGATTAAATTTCTGTCAGAATCAAATAAGGTTCTGATGGATTGCACTTCAGATGGATTTAAGAATCTCGTTCCAAAGCTAATGATGGTGATATTACAACATACAAGGCTGTCTCCAGCTGTAAGACAAGTGAAAGACTGGCTGTCTTGGAAACCGAAATCTTCTAGTGTTGAGAACGGTGAGAATGAAGTAAGAATGGAGTGTATTGGAGCCGAGGATAGCAGAAAGGTAAGTTTGATTCTGGAAACTCTAAAGAGTTTCGTATTTCAGTATTGGTACAGTTGCGTTGAAGTTCTTGCATCTGTTTAAGATATGTTTGAGAAGTGAAGAGAAATTAGGTACGCGCGTTTTAAGAATATGGTATTGGTTTCTCTGTTTAGGACTCCTTTCCTCTGCACAGCCCACTTATGACACACATTGTGACATCATTTATTCTGCCCAGCTACCAAAGCTGCAATACCAATGCTACCTTGGGCTCGCACAAAACTTGCACATTACAGCTCAGCATATTGAAGGAAATACTGTGGAGAAACATGAGAACTCTGTCGTCACCAGAACTGAACTACAAGTAAGCCTGTGTTGCATTTATAGGATCATTTGAGTAATTTGTCAGTAGCTAACTTTTTGTTTCTGATTAAATGAAGTTGTTCGAGACTAAAAGTTCATATAAATGCATAGATATTCCATCGTTACTTCACCACATATGTGTAGATCCACCAGTGTGGATTACTCATGTGAAAGATTTGTTATGGGGATTGATTTTATTTATTTAAAATAAATAGATAAAATAAATCATCATCATTTCCTCTTCTGTTGGTCGTCCTTACGCAATGTTACTCTCACTCTTGCATCTTTCCTCTTGTTCTGCCAGCAGATAATTCTGATTTCATTTCAATTCCTAAAACTTCCCTTCTTATTCTTCCTTAGTATTACTGATTGGACTTCATCTTCTTTTCTATGGCTCTGCGGTTCGTATTCGGTCCATGGCCTCCTCAATTCTCCTCTTCCATTCGGTCCTCTGTTAGGTCCGTCTGTCCGAGGCTTTGATCGAGGTTTCGAAACATCTTCCTTTTTACGGTGCGAGGTTGTTAGCCTTGCGACCAACCCCCAACTTGGAGGACCAGGGTACCTGTCTTAGTCTGACCTCTCCCCCTCGACCAATCTGGCTAGGGAGGCCCTACCAGTAGCTCTTGGGGTCACTGAGGTACTCAAGCCCCACCACCACGACAAGGTCCAGGTACCATTAAGTGGGGAATCTTGAGCTAGTGTAATGAATTTTGTGTCGTCATACTTTCTTTCCCGAGAAACTTTTTAATATGTACCTTTTTATAACATTCTGCTCCAGGTTGGCGGATCCTTCCCTTGAGAATTGTTGTTGTTTGTAAAAATATATATAAGGAGAAGGAAGTGGTGTTCATGTAGATTAGAATGAACGAGCTGTCATTCTGTGAATCCTTGGCTTATAAAAACGAACTATGATTTTTGGTTGTTTTTTTTTTTTCAGGTTAAATGATGCTTTCAGTGTTGAATCATTTTTCAAAAGATTTCTGCACACACTTTCCTTGGCACTGGGAAACAATGCAGCTGAAGTGCCAGACCAAAACTGTTTTGCCTATGTAGAAGGAATAGTGCAGACTCTCAAGGACTATAATAAACACGATAGAAGGCAGCAGACTGTTTCCAGAAGCGAAGAAAATATAAATGAAATTAAACAGTTTTCGGGTACACTGATACAGTTGACCGAAACAGTTACAAGACTCAGGGACAGTGTAAGGACTGTGACAAATCCTGAAGCAGAAATGAGCTCTAAAGATGTCGGTGACTTACAGATTTTGGTGTCAACAGCGGAAGCTTGGACCCTCTTAGGATTTTTGCAGGTTACGTTATATCTGAAGCTGGGATTAATGGATCCAATAGCAAAGAAGAAACTGAAGCTACATTATGTTTCAGAAGATGTAAGTATTATTACATAGGCTGGTATCTATCTCCTTTAAAATTAGCATTGCTTTAACTGTGATCTTCTAAGTTGTCCATAGGTAAAAACCCTAGAAAACAGTGTGTAAGACATAGTTCATTTGTGTGTTTTATACTGCAACTTTTGCGTTTTTGTAGCTGGAGGAAACTGAAAAGAATGTCCATAGGTAAAAACCCTAGAAAACCCTAGAAAGGCATTGTTCATTTGTTTGTTTTATACTGCAACTTTTGCATTTTTGTAGCTGGAGGAAACTGAAAAGATGCTGTATGCCCAAGAGTTACAGTCACGTGTTTGTAGCTCAAGTCTCGACAAGTTCGACGAATGTAATATCCATCCTCATATTGTACTGCTCAGAGAGAGGTTGAAGCACTTGATTGTCAGGCAGAATGAACTCAAGAAATGTGTAGCTGCAAGACCTGATCCCCCACTCTTTGATTCTCTGGCTAAGGTAAGAATTGAATTAAAAACCTGTGGAAATTAAATCCTGTTCTCTCGTATTATAAGTTGTAGTGGTATTAAATGTTTTATCTTTCAGAGTTGTGTGTGTGCGACATTTCTTGAGCTGCTTCTCACTTACATTTTACTTGATGAATATTAGCATAAAGATTTCTCTCTTCTGGGTTGTTGCGCTGCGTAGTCTGGTCAATGTTAACCAACGTTTCAGAGGTCATACTGCCTCCGTCATCAGAGTATGAAGATTTCTGTCTTCTG